CTTGACAGATGTGTCCATCCCCAGTAAATCCAGGATTACAAGAACAATTGTATGATCCTGCGATTTTTGTACAATTGGCATTGTTTCTGCTACAGTTGTGTGTATTGTTAGTACATTCATTAATGTCTGAAATGGAATCGACAGACCTTACTTATGGTCATAATCACGAACACTAAAGCTGAAGGGGAAAAGGGTAGAGAGAACTCCAATATACGAGAATCATGCTCTGATCGATATCAAGTTACCATGTATATATATACTGACTCTGTTTTGGCCAGTTTTGCAAGTTTCTCGCGCTGACACGACAAAGTATCATCCACTGAAGTATGTTTAGTACCTGTGCAATTGTGTCCATCACAGCTAAATCCAGGTTTACAACTGCACTTAAATGATTCCCTAGTATTGGTACAAGTGGTAGATATATTGCTGCAGGGGTGGCTATTTTGAGAACACGTGTCAACGCCCGAAGTTAACTAAGCAGTCCACACCAATGGAAGGGGATGGAAACTGGGCTTCCAATCTGAAAAAAGAAGGGTGCTCTTAAGGTGGGTAACTCAGACTCGCTCTTACCACGTACGACCTAATCATAAAATGTACTTCTCTTAAGCCATGCTGTGTCAGGTAATCAGTAAATAAGTTTACAAACGAAAAACTCTTTTTTCATTGTTGATATCGTCTAGGGACGTACTTAAGGAGAAAGGAATACACACGGAATTTTATCTGTCTAACAAGGACTCTCTGAAGAAATAGACCACTGTGTTAAAACAAGGAAAAAAAATTCTCCTAATTTAAGTGTTACCTTTTTCACAATCGTGGCCATTAAATCCAGACGCACATAAACATCGATATCGTTTTCTTGTAAATCCCGACTGGCAAGTGCCGTAGTTCTCGCATGGAGATTGAGCGCAAAAATTCTTCAACAAATACAAAAACAAAAAAGAAACAAAAAATAACGTCACGGGCGTTAAAAGAAAAATTATGCTTTAGACGTGTTGCATAACTTCGAGAGTTAAACATATTACATTTTTAGCATGAGGCGACAAGAAGAGTTGTCACTACTCTGGTTGGGATTTCGCAAGTAACTGTTTGATATCTTGATAGCCCGTTTCGACATTTCGCCGAGAACCTGACCACAACTTAGTGGAGAAAGCAATTTCAAAAGTTTCCCGTGTAAGGTCACCCCTATCACTTTTGAAAATCGGAAAGGGCATCTGAGGCTATTAAAGAGAAATAGCAGGAATAGCACTCTGTAACCCCGCTCATAGCTTAAGTGTATCGTTTTGTTCGTAGTCGTACGCACTCTCGAGCCATGAAACTTATCAAATTATTTCGATTATTTAACCTGGTATATTCAAGCTTGAAACCCAATTGAATTCAGTTACCTTTTGCAGAAATGCTTTCAAATGACCATTCCATTTATTCTTGCCCACGAAAATATTTGAGATGAATAAAGTATTTCATAGTTGTGGCTACTTTATTAGAAGAAAAACAGCGATCAACTGTTTACTCAAGGCTGGTGAACAACATTCTGAAATGACTAAAAAACTTAGTTGCTTCTTTTCATAGAGTGGGTTGTCTTCAAGGTATTCAAAGGACTTTTGTTTTTGGTAAGCGCACATCTACAAAAGATCCGTAACGCGTCTAAAATTATGTATAAATAACAAATAATTGATAGAGGCGTCTTACAGACATGAATATAAAGGGTAACCCTTTAGCTCTCATGAATTGTTAAAAGAGAAAGTGGTGCAATTGACATTTAACGACTGGCACCTTAGTTCCGTGGTATACAAAGTTCGCTGCTTTCACCAGACCTTTATCGAACTCTTTACTCGTTGAGTTATTCAGTTCACAGTTGTGTGCTTCTGCCTCGTTTTCTCCAAAATAAAAGTTAACACTAACGCAGTTGTGGTCCAAGTAGCAACGATATCCACACGTGTCTCTGTCAATCACCCTGATGTTTGCTATGGTATGGTTAACAAGACGTTCGCCCACGAAAAACAAAGTGGATGGGAAAGCCAATATACGGCATTTATCTAAAAATTCAAACCATAAAATGTTAAAAAGCGCGATTCCGAGGGTCTCAGATGTTGTTAATCTCGCTGTTCGATGCTTGTGGTACGTTTATCGATAATTATGACACATTCACTGTGTTACCGGAGATCGAGTTGTATTAACACTGGCATCGGTTAAGGTTTTTTCGAGCCTGAAAGACCGCTAGAAAATAATTTTATAACCTCCAAAAGTTGCGAAGAGTTGCATTGATGAGCCCCAAACTCCGATGAAAAATTCGTCTTTAGAAAACTGCAATTACCGTTTAATGTTATGATATAGGTAAGACGTTTCAATCATGAATTGCCAACTTTTGTACATTATTTTAAATCATAATTTATTATCAAAGTTATTGTAAAAAAGCGCGCGTTGCAAGTTCCACTAACTCCTAATGAGCCATCATGTTTTCTCGACGTAGGCATGGCCGAGTATACATAACTCAAGGTTTGCAACGAAGGAAATGAGCATCGAATTCAGAGTTCTAAAATGCTACAACACAAACGTTTTGGTCTATTTTTTAAACATGTCTGGATCATAATTTCAAGGTGGAAAACTTTACTACTAAAGTTATCTTAAATAAAATATATATATACATGTTAACTAAATATGAAACCAGCGAATAATTATGTACCCAAAGAAGGATTCTTATTCCACGAGAGAATGTAAAAATAAGGGAATAAAAAACATTTCATTTCTAAACAGTTAATACATCAATTTCTCTTTCCTTGAGTGCACGGCTTTTCATAACGATAGGATCCTTATAGCGAAAACCTTGTCATTAATTTTAGATGACCTTAGTAGAACTTAAGTTTATTTTTATATGAGTATTTCAAAAGAATACGAGACTGTAAGCAGCGAAAAATATGATTAGTTACGGAATTGAGTGAGAGGATTGTTCAGTCATAACTTAAAATACTTTGCCAAAATATGTTCGCATGTTGCGAAAAAGAATCGAAAATATTTTTGAGTGAATGCAACATGACAAGGCATTGATTTGGACTGCGAATTATGTAACCATTTTGTTAAATTAGGCCCCTACATGGATATGCTAGAGTTTAAGTATTTCAGTCCTTGAGAATTCGCGTTCCCTTTTTGAATCTAGTAAATTGTATAGCTGGAAATTTTAAAGGAGAAAAATAAAAGTTTCTTATCCACAAATGAAAGATTTGAAACCCACCATCTGGGCAGGATAGAACTTGGCCGTGGGAGAGGACCACAGAGGTGAAGAACAAGTGGAGAAAAACTCCCATGTTCTAAAAAACCAGCTGAAAAGAAATCCTTTCGATGTTTTGTAGCTGTCGAGAAAATCGAGAAGCTTAACAGCAGTTTGTTGACTGCGATGTAGCAATTTAACGCTAAACTTCCTTGAAACATGATAGCCAATCACATTCTGATATATGAAAGATGTCTAACAGCCCGCCACAGAGACGCTATTAGATTAAATGATGTGTACTAAAATAGATAATTTTGTTAGTTTTCTCCTCACGCAGTTATCTCCATCTTTCACTTGCTATTCTAAGGGATCCTTCTTGTATACGTTTCAATAATTATAGGCAGCATCAAAAGAAAAAATATATAATAGTTAAACTCAGTAAAAATGCAAGCGCACGAAGAAAAAGCCTACAAATCTGTTTTCTTAAGATTTCAAGTTGCTAACTCTGTGGTATTCTGACCAAGTTTTCAAGGAGACTTTAAGGTGCATTTTTAGAAAACATGGCTTCACTGAAGCCATGTGGTTCAGTGCCGCTCTCGCTAAGAGAGTGCCTCTCGAATTCCCGTCGGGAAAAAAGTTTCCCTTTTTTTTTAGGCATAAAAGAATGGTTTAAGACATGTGTCTCTGAAATAGTTAAGTTGCTCTCCAATTCTCTTTTTTTGTGTCGTTATAAGCTAAACTTGATTTTTTTTGGCTAAACCCCTGAGACTGCAATAATAAACCTCACGGAATTCTCTCTTGCTTCAAGTTGCGGGATTTATTCAGTCAAAGTATAAATAAAATATGCAAACTTTACATGAAATCTTAGCCATAACAGCGCGATCAGAGTTTCGAACACAATTTGCAAACCAAAAATCTAACAACGTGTACGAAATAATTCTTAAAATGTAGGCGTAAATCGGGCTGGAAAAGCATATCAGTGGAACCCTTTTTACGCCAATTAGGTCACTGATAGTCACTAGCTTTCATCTACCAACAACAAAACAACGCAAATCAATGCGTTTCCTCCAATGCACTAGTGTCAGAGTTCATTTGCAAAATTCTGAAAATCAACCAAGACATGTTTTTGGCCGTTTAAGCTTCTTTCATTTACCTCCTACATAAAGGGTTTTAAGTTTTAAAACAATTGGAAGCGAAAAGATCCTTGCTTCTCATGAATCGTTGCATAAACTTTATCACTCGCAACGTTTGCATGACTTACTAAGTAGGCGGTCATGAACAAGCGCCTCTTCGATAAGTTTCATTGTATCAGGTTACAAACTAAACACAAAGTGGAAAGTTCAAAATTAGCGAATAGAATTTGGCATTCTCGTCGTTATAGAGATAATCCGTCTCTAAAAAGGACAAGCAAATATGTTAAACTATGTTACAGTGTGTTTTAGTAAACAACACGTATACACTCTGCAAGGTTATTCTTCTTTTTTAATCGATTTAAACCTTAACAGAAAATCTCTCAGGTTTTATATATAGTTGGTATAAATCAGTCAATCAAACAGTTCTTTTAAAAGCTACCTGAGGGGCCTAAAGGTGTGAAACTGGGAAGTAATTTTGCTTTTTCTTTTTCTTTTCTGTATAAAAAGATTTGAGGTGATTAGGTTTGAAGTTTGAAACAAACATGAAAACAGGAACTAGACTGGAAGTTAGATGAAGTGCTCCAATTACTACTATGACTACTGTTTTCTGCTATGGAAAGAATGTGTTTAAGAAAACCAAATATGGTAGTCAACTAGTTTTGAACTCAGCCCAGCCATTCATTAATTTGCACAGCACCGTCATCTTTTATGTTCCCACCAGACAAACCTGAACAGTCTTCACCACTGCAGTACGAGCCCCCTCCACCTCCGGCTTGGTGCTTATGAGTACCACTGCCTCCCCCAGAGTATCCATCACCTCTGCCTGATGCCCCATTATCTTCTGAACCTCCTCCCCCGCCTCCAAACCCACCAACTACTCCTGGTGCAGGGCCCCCATTATTACCGCTATTCATATTTCCGGCTTGACCTCCGATCCAGCCTTGAGCACGTGATCCACCTCTTTTCCCATGGGAGGAGCCTAGTCGGGTACAACCTTGACCAAACCAACCTGCACCTACTCCTCCATGGTAGCTGGCGCCCTCGCTATTGCATTCACCTGGCTGCCCATCTGTACCTCCATTACGAACTTGTGACGAATCTTTCCCCTCACTACTGGTGCCACTTGATCCCGCCTGACCATCCACACCATTATACCCACCCAACGCACCCCCTCCTCCTCCGGCAGCCAGCAACAGAACATTATCTGTAGTGTAAACAAAACTTCCTCCCCCTCCTCCAGTGCCAGCATCGTCCTCCACGGAGTTTCGAAGTTGAGCTGCGGTCTGGCTTGTACTTTGTCCGCCTTCAACCTCCACCGAATCTCCTCCTCTTTGTCCCACCACAATATTTAACACTGTTCCATTATTCAGTCTGAACTTGCCTTCTATAAACGCTCCCTTTCCACCATTGTATGTTCCTGGAAGGTATCCATAATTGTATGAATGTGTTCCTCCCCGAGCTCCCCAGGCTTTGATGAGATAGCGGGTGGTCCGCGGAACAGTGAACGTCTGTATACTGCCAAAGCGTCCCCTTCTTCCACCTGCTCCAAATCCAGCTAGCAACAGAAATAAAAAGAAACTAGATCGTCTACTATACATGACAAAAAAACAATGAAAAATGTTAATTGACATCAAAATGTTAAAAAGTAATAAGTTTAAGAGTTGGCAAGTCAGTCAGTCAAGTAATTATTCCTTCTGTCTGTTTGCCTCTTTGTCTGGAAAGATGAGCCCTCCCTCACAATCCAAACATTCTTACGTTCACAAGTTTGTCCATTTCCAAAAATCCAATTTTGCAGGCACAATGATAAGAGCCAGGGGTGTTATGACAAACGGCGTTGGTATCACACAAAAATGGGGAAGCGTCACATTCGTCGTCATCTGTGAAAAAAGAAGATATCAGGATTCACTTTTTTCTAAGACTATTATAGGAAATTATAACAAGGGCTCACTTCCTCATAGGAAGGCGAATTTTTTTTGCTTCCTTTTGTGACAAATTTTGTAACTTTCAAAGGAAGATCGTAAATATGAGTCAATTTTTCCCCATGGCAAATGAATAAAGTGGGTAAGTTTCTAAAGAAACTGTGGTGCCGCTTCGGTGGGAGAGTATAACGGTAATTTAGTGTTAACAACTAAGTTGAAAACGTAAATTAGCCACCGTAATGGGTAAAAAAGCTGACGTTGCAAGCGTTATCTCTTTGTCAGAGCGATTGGAAGGGCTAACGAAGGGCTAACGCTCGAAATGCCAGCTTTTTTACCCTTTACGGTGGCTAATTTACATTTTCAACTTAGTTGTTAACACTAAATTACCTGTTTTCCCCATGACATCGCGTTCAGTAGTTTTAGAATCACGACGAGTAGCCGTGTATCCATGTAAAGAACTCAAGTGTGACAATCTGTTATGAGATTCAAATCCAGTCAACGATACGAATAGAGTCTCTAGGATTGTTTACCTGTGCATGTAATTCCATTTCCAGTAAAACCAGTTTTACAGGAACAGCGATAAGAGCCGAAAGTGTTCCGGCATTCGGCATTGACATTACTACACACCCCAATAGAAGCTCTGCACTCGTCAAAGTCTTGGAGAATCATAATAGTAGAAATGATAATGATAATGATGATAGTACGGATAAAATTGAGAATAAAAGAGCTTAGACAGAGGGTATTATAAAAATCATCAATTGTACCTTACCTACTGACCGCATCGCTTCTTAAAGTACCAAAATAGCAAAAAGTTTACGATAGTGATAACAATAGCGGTAACGAAGATGATGGTGCCCGTGATAAAATGTGTCTTTTTTGGGCCATTTACACCTACCACGATGCAGTTAATTAAGTCCTAAATAGTGATCAAATCGAATGAAAACAGAGGAGTAACTCTTAATTTTTTCGTATTGTAGATATTTCGAATGCCATTTGATGGCGTAAGCGAACTAAAAGTTTTCCAAGATTGCAAAGATATACTGCTTGAGAAATGATTTTAACCAAGAAAAAAAATTGATTGTGCTGTAAATTGGTTAAAGTTTTCTTAGCTCAAATTCAAAGTTTCGGCCAAGTGATAAATGTTCATACAAACCCTACGAGAACCAGATTCCTAGTATTCTTGGAACTTCTGAGAATCCCTAAGAATAAGAATTCTTAAGAACAAACTTTGCAGTGGGCCTCGAGTATTTTGCTTGGAGTTTGCAGGTAGACTTGAAATTCCAGCAATTTCAAGCCAAACTTTATCTTAGCTCTCACATAGGCCCGTAATTCTGGTTTTTCAAAGTAAGCTTCATAACGTACCTCGGCCCAAATAATATCTTTGAGTGTCAGAAATGAAATTTGTTGGACCGTTTTCTCGGGTTCCATTATTCAATTCACATATGTTCTGGAAAAAGACGTAATTGACACTTTCACGGTGCGAGTCGAGTTTGCAAGCCTGCCAACACTCAATGGGGAAGATCGTCTTTAATTTCCTGAAAGTGTATCCAATTAACATCCTTTGGAAGGTTGAGGAGTATTCGCTTCGACATTGTCTTGCATCGCCTCCTTGAAACAGCTGGCTAAACGCCGAAACAGTGATGAAACAGAAATAGCTCAGTAACATCAGTGCTTGTTTGCACAGCCCTAATAGACAAAAGCAAATTTGGTTAAAAAGAGAAGACGGTTATCGGTACAAACTTAATTCCTTATGGACTCGAGGCGAATTCTACAATACTAAAATTTTGAGCACTGGATTCACTGAGAAAATTTAACGTTTAAACAGAGAAAGAATTAACGAGGCTAATCATTCCACCAACAAAGATCGTCCATGTACTACTACCTATGAAAATATAGCATAAAATGAGTCCATAAGTGTGATATCTGCACATTAAGTTTTCAAAATATCTGACCTGATCCTTACATTAAATTTTGAGTTTTCTCGCCCCAAAACTGGAGAACTGACTCTTCGCGGACGGCACAATAACAACTGGGGGGAATAACTCTGTAGAGACGACTTGGCAGCGAGAACGGAAACTCGTCACGATTTCCTGGTACACGGAGATCTACTTCTAGTAAGCTTGTACGGACGTCAAGGATAAGACAATCTTTGGTTCCACAGTACTTTTATTCTAGGTCAGGCCAACAAGCGACATGACCTCTAGCATACTCTAGGTTGTAATCATCAAAGCTGTACAAGGTACTTGCTTAAGAAGTAACTGGTGCGAAGTGCTATTGTTACACAAATCGCAATATTTGGATAAGGACACAAAGGAGCGGAAAAAAGTCTCTTTGAAGCTAAACAAAAACTACTTAAATATTCCATCTGTTTCTACGACGGATAGAATCTCAAAATTAAAAAGACGGATGCAATAAACTCTAGGCCATTAAAGTAGGAAAGCTAGGTGCGAACTTACAGCTCTGATATAGAAAACAATACCTATCTTAATTGCAGTAGCGCAGCTCAGGAAATAAAAAACGGAAAAGCAATTAAAAGTTTCTGCTTATTTATACAAGATTGGTTTGGAAACCATTGCATGAAAAGAAATTAGATTTACGCGCTTAAACTCAGCTGCTATCTACCATGAAAACCAATGTTTCCAGAAAGACCATTAACACTTATATTTACCTAAAAACCCATGTACTAGATGACAAAAGTGCCGACAAGCAGGTGCACATGATGAAAGTGAGTAACAACAAAAATCTATTCAAAAGCTACTGTGGTTTTTTTTATGCATTTTTTGATTTATTAAAATGAAAGGACTTGAAATGGTTAAATGTGAAAGTTTACGAATGAATATGTTCCGAATAACACATACGGGAAAATCAATTAATTTTCCCGTAACAATAACTGGTTATTCTAACCCAGTTTTATTTGGTCAAGGTAACTTAAGAGTGGATATTCTCGGATGCATTTGGCGAGTATTTTTTTTGTTTATTTCAATTAGTAAACAGTCCAAGTGATTTGAAAGACCCTTTGCCACAAAAAACCCAGGGTACCAATTCGTGCAATTATTTAGACGAAAGTTTCTTGCGATTTCATGTGAAACTCACCCCTTGAAAATCATCATTAAATACGCGAGAAAAATATGTATGGAGAACCCTTACACCTTGACCAGCTTCTTCATCATCAGGATTACTAGAGAACTTTTACAAACAGCCATACTTAAGGGACTTGTCATTATTTATCATCTGTCGGGGGGAGGGGGCGGGTGCAGGGGTGAAGGGCTTTGCTGGTGGAGGACTTTGCTGGAGTCACGATTACCTGATACCCCTTCGTGCAGTTCTATACATTTTTATGATCCCCTCCCTTCCGCTGTCATTTCCAATTCACTGACATTCAATTCTCTATAGTCTTCTGCCGTCATTCTCTGTCGGGGAAGACCGATTCCCCTCTGTCCCTCACTAAGAAACCTTGTGATCCTCCAAAATTCTCTACTTACCGGGCTATAAATAATGACAAGTCCCTTAGTTAATGTTACTTCTTCTTCATTTTTTAATTTTTAATTTATCATGATTATCATTATTATTTGTGACCAATCACAACACACTATCTGATATCGCTTAAGTGAAATGCATGTAAATCACAGTTAACATTGCTCAAGAGACGACTCAAGCAATTGATAATTTTCTGAACCAGCATCGATTTAGTCTGTGCTGCAGTAGCGGAGGGAACATGTGGGTGTGCCAGTTATGTAGTAAACATAGTAATCGCTGCAGTTTATCACTTTGACGGATCTTGACCAGTTGCAGCAGTTTGACCCCCAGTGGAAGCAAACTGTCCTGGTGACCTGACCATCAGCCACTGTGGGGTGAGCACCATTTAGCCAACCGGATGCGTGAGTGTTACATCGCCGTATCGGTGGACATGAGGTGGGCATTCTTGTACCTGCTGCTCCTTCAAAACGATACCAACCATTAATTCCCCTGTCACAAACCGTGTTTTGATTGCCATAGGTTATCTTTCTGTCTGACCCAGTCAGACTTTGATAGTTTGGACATTCTAAAATGGACAGAGTAGAAAGGATTGAAGTAAGTCCAAAAATCGAAACAAACCAGGTAAAACCCTTGGTATTTTTTTTACATAGAATATTACCTCTGCGCTATTTATTACTGTAATTAAGAGGTTAAAATCTTCCGGTGTAGCAGTCTTAACGTCTTTGACTCCAGGAAAAAGTACGTGATAAAAATGCAGCCAATATCCAGCCATCATGACTAAACAAATGAAGTCAGTCACGAAATGGTTTTACGGCCGTATAATCACATCAAAGAGTTACAACATGAATTCAGTTTAAGAAGTCATGGTTTTCCTTCATGTGACTTTCTTCGTTTATTGTTACAAGAAATATTTCCTTTGGAATTAAGGCGGAAGATCTTTCACACAGGCAACCGTCTGAAGCTTGCTCTAGCGCAAAAAAAAAAAATGTCTCGGTAGTGTTCGTTGCATGATTACTTTTTGAGTCATCAGCCATCCTCTCCCTGTTGTTCATATATAGCTGACACCTGAGTCAATAGTGCTCTTAGCGCGCGCTGATTGGCTGGTTCGGGAGTGATTGGCAAGTTCTATTTAAACAAATTTAATTTTCAACCGATAATCGTTATGTCTGAATCCAAAATTCTTCTTGGATGGGGTTAACTGACAACTGACAAATCGCTGAAAATCTAGCTGACAAATGACATTTGTGGTGGGATTTTACTGACAGCTTACAAAAGAGCGGATCTCCCCAGATATCCTAAAAACTGGATGTAAAATAAGGACAGTTGATTTATTTTGTCCAATAGAAGTACGTTTTTATTACATATTAGTAGGAGTACGCCAGAGTGTCATATTTCTGTTAATAATTCCCGCATGGACCATCCCTATCACGGTCATATGTCATATATCGGTTATATTGTCTTTGCTACCCAACTTGATCATCAACGTACGCCATGGCCTTCAATACTGGTATTTCAAAAGCTGTTGTAAGCCTCTATCCAATCGATTCGGAAACGGCATTTGAACGTCACAGAAGCTGCATTCCTATTAATGATGTTAACACCGTACTGGTGCTGAAAAAGCACCTTGTTTCGTTCCTTGGTCAAAGGAGTTTTTGTTTAGTAAATGTGGCCTGGGAGATTTTTATGTGAAACTTTATCACATTGCTCCGAAACTAGGAGGAGATAGTGACAATTTTGCCTGGAATACAAACAAGCAATGGAATCCGGAGCTTCTGACCATGCTGGCTGGAACAGGAAACGAATTAAAGAGTGTGTATTGAAATATTTTGATATTTGGTGTCGTATAAATATATCAGTAAAAAATCCTACTCCGCCGTATAAAATGCCTATGGATTTTTTATGCGAGGAATGTAATAAGAAGGCCTTATTAGTACTGAATTCTAGCGCAAAGAATGAGACCTTGCCTGCAGAACTGTCCATTGTTGTTGCCTTACCACATGTGGTTCACCTCGGTAAGAGTCTTAAGTGCAGCTGGGCCAACTGATTCATTGGCCTTGAAGGCGCAAGAAGTAACCTCGTTTTAATACGCACCCTTCGTGATTCTGGGAGCCTTGATATTCGCAGGAGACTTAAGAAATGCCTTACCCTCGAATGTGTGCGAAACAAAGATCGCATGGCAGTTGAACCTATCTTGTGCCTCACCAGACCAACGGTCTTGGATGTTCTAGAAGAAGTCACGTTTGTGGTTCACACCGTGGTGCCAGAAAGTGTCGCTTCTGGAAATCAAATCAAGGTGTACAGGCCTCTTTATGCAAAAGACCAATCGCCCTTAAATGTGGAACGTAAAGCAAAATTCTTGCTTTGGGCTACGATTTAGATTCTCGTTAGGTTCGTGTAATATAGTTCCATTGCACCAACCTGTAGAAGTTGAAGTGCTCGAAAGAACATTCAACGAGGCTAGAGACTTGTGTTTTATCGATAGTGCTAGTTTTATCGCAGAAGGTGCATCGTATTTGATTCACTTTATTGACCTTGAAGGCTAGGTAACTTTCAATTTCAAGCGAGTAAACTTGAAATATTGTGCTGATCTGTTGTCTCAGCTAGCTTGTTTCATTTTACCGCTTGATGGCACAGTATCCGTTCTATGAAAACGAATGAACACCCATTTGCAAACTTTAGCCGCTGAATTCGGAAGCTTGTCCAGTTTCGCCCTCCTTTAGAAAAGCCAACTTCAATCTGTGATGCAAGTGAAAACTTTCTGTTGTGTGCAGACGTTGCCCAGAGGGGAATTTTACAAGTGACATTACATTAGAATGGAGTTGGCATTGTTGGTGCCAGGGTCAAACTCGTGACCTATCTGACTGGCATTTCGAATGTAGAAGTTCTCAGACGAAGAGCTTATTTTGCAGCGGTCGATCTTGACAGTGGCTGTACGTTTGCAATCCTTGAAGCTTAGAGTGACCAACTTCTAAAGGAGAACTCGGAGTCTTATGAAGAAATCAAAAGACTTCGTGAATTTGAAGACGGGATGGCGTTCTCTGACCCAGGGGATCGAAAGGTAAAGTCCTTCTGTCCTTCTGAGAAAAAACATAGCATCTCTTCTATGGAAAAGACTCTATCCGCATTGAATGTTGCTACAGGTTGCTTTACACTAGCATCGGGACTCAGTGATATTGTGTCTTTCTTACAAGTCCTAGCAAGTCTCCATAAAAGTTCTGGTATCAGAGCCCAACGCATAAAGAAAGCACACGTCTTATCAAGATGCCGTAGACAAAGTATCGTGTGTAAATGACAACATCACGAAGACCGTTTCTGATGTGAAAGAACGGCTCAATGTAAAGGAAGCCATAGCGACCAACGGCCCTGAAGGAACTGTGTCTAACAAAACTCAAGTCTCGCTTAAACTTCTCGAAGAAGGAATGCACTGCGTGTGCAACAACATAGCTTCAATGAACAACGATTATCTGGAGGACACTGAATTGTGCACATTATTCATAACAATTGTAGAGATTCTACACGCAGTTTCCCTTTTAAGTATGAGACCTTCACCGCATTGCAGTATTCCCAAGACTTTGGAATAATTATCTAGGAGTAAATGAAGAGAGTAACAAAATGGGAAGCCAAATATTTTACTCATGAAAAATCCTACTATCCTGTCCCTCACACTGGCACGGAGTTTGCAAATGTCAACCTTATGCGACCTCTACCTTCAAAAGGGATCAACCCCGAGTTTGAAAGTACTATGAAAGAATTTGTGGAGAGGTATCGTCTGTTGAGGCAAAGGACAGCTCGGGAGGAAACTAACAAGGAAAAGGCAAGGGCTTTACCACCGGCCGTCTACACAAAAAAAGAAGAATCCATCAAAGTGGACTTGTTAGCGGGACTAGGGAACGATTTTAACACTTGAGATCAGCCAGTCGGGCTCGGCAGCGACAAAGGACCCATTCAAGCTCCTTCGGAAGATGGTAATGTGAAAGGGCATCAGAAAACGACTTTTCTGACCGAGAGGATGAAGATATTACCTCAATAACGGTTTTTAGACCCGGGAGGCCAATGAGCCCCCATTTTCGCTTGGATTTCAAAGGTACGCTTACAGGAGATATCGCTTACAACCTAGATCAAAAGTAGACAAAAGAACATTCCTTTCCGTTCATTTCATCGAAACCAGTGGCAATCTAGGCATTGTAAAACAAAACACAAAACCAATTTATTGTGCTAGAGGACTCTTCAGAGGTTCGTTTTCCTTCTGACGATCTTCCCTCCAATATTTTGACCGGCTAAGTGGTTGAAAAGGAATGTTTCAATGTTGCGAACAGGCAAACAGAAGTTTGTGTGCAGAAGAATTGTAACTTATTCAAACACCCATCAAACAAGGAGTGAAAGTTACTTGGAAGATCGTGGAATGATTTCATTCCAGAATTGAGAAAGAAAGAGTACTTATTGGATCAAAGACGTGTTACGCAATTTCTACCTTCAAAAGAGAATTCATGCCAATTTCATTGTTTGCATAGCAACAAATGACCAAGAAGCGCCTTAAATCGCTAACATAATGCAGAGCGATTTTACCGGGGTCAGGCTAATATACCTCATCACGCTGAATGCCTCAGTAATTATCTATTAATTATTGCTTTCATGATTTACTCAAGTAGTCTGAGCTACCCGCTTAGTGTAGTCCTGAGGACGACTGTTGACGTCCGTAGTGACTGACGCTGGGAGTACATGAGCGGAAGTGATCATCAAGTGATCAAGAGTAATTGTCGGTCGAGCGTTATGAGATGAAAGTGTTAAATTATTGTAAACTTATTGCTCAGTTTAGCTGTAATGGAATTGGCTGTGAGACTCAAGGCGCAGGATGGTTTTAGACAAACCCTTCTGTAGAGTATACTAATTGTAAGCGTAGGAGTCGCGCAGTCTTCAGTTTGTGAGATAATTTGGATTTAGAGTTTGCGTACGGAATAAAAGATTTCGTCATCATTTAGTGATATCGATCAAGCCACTGATTCTTAGTTAACGCGACAGAGAAAGCGAAAGTTAATCAAGGCGGTGGAAAGAAATTGAACACAGGGCGAAAAAGACAACAGGTATAGGAATGAATGAATGAAATGATGCCATTAATCAGAGCAAAAATTATAAGGGAAGCTGCGGAGTAATAGTTTTTTGCAAGATGAGGCAAAAAATCATTGTTGTTGATTGAGATTGCCAGGTGGGCGTGACCCAAGCTCCCCTGACCCCCAAACAAACCTGTTACCTTCAGATCTCGTTATGCTTTTTTGGTATAATTAAATCGTCAAATAAAAAACAACTCGGCCATGTCGATTGAAGTTTTTTCAGTGCATTAGTGCCCTTAGGAAGGAGATAACGGCAACAGAGAATTTTTTCTGGTATATGAGATTATGCTTTTAAGGATTTTACCTCGGCAGTTCTGCCCGTCTCCGGTGAATCCAGGCTTACAAGAGCAGATGAATGATCCCGCGGTATTTGCACAAGTAGCGTTCCTCTTGCTACAGTTGTGAGTATTTTTATAGCACTCATCAATGTCTGAAATGGGATGAACACCATATTCATAATTCTTCTTTGTTTATGTGGAGGTAGGGGGAAACAATATATAGCTTCAAAATAACAGTAGAAATTGAGAACTGAGAATGTTTAGAGTACTCATCCAAAAAGAATGCAGAAAAGACGGTAAAGAAAGTAATCCGTTGCCAGCTAAAAAAAATGATACAAGTAAAATTAAAATTGGGACTATCAACCGCACGAAATCAACTAAATACGCCACCTCTGATACTGTAATAACTAATAGGTCTGGTCACAGAAGAAATAGCCTTTGATGCAGGAAGCTGTGTGCGTTTTACTTGTTGAAACGGCAGAAAACTTGCGCTGATTAACTTGTATTACCTGTGCAGTTGTATCCATCCCCAGTAAATCCAGGATTACAAGAGCAAGTGAAGGATCCTTCGGTATTTGTACAGGTTGCGTTCCCTTTGCTACAGTTGTGAGTATTTTCAAAGCACTCATCAATGTCTGAAATGAAGTCAACACATCGTACCGTTTGTTTATATTGAGGCAGAATGTCGCAGAATAAATAGGTGGGGGGGAAGGAAGTTGAATGTAAACCTTCGAAATGACAGTATACCTGATGATACAGTTCTGTGGGCAAAAAAAAACAGGAAAAGAAAAAAATATATATATATCGGGATAGGAAATGTATGATCTTGATGTTAAAAGGCAATTTGAATTCTACCAAAAACTACGAAATCATTTGGGCTAGTTTATTACCGTAAAGACAAAAACACCAGGACTTTGTTTGAATCGCTTTTGATATGGGGAGACATAGTGGCCCGAAGAAATTCCATTACCTGTGCAATTTTGTCCATCCCCACTGAATCCAGGTTTACAAACGTACTTGAAAGATCCCCCCGAACTTTCACAAGCAGCATAATCACTGCTACAGTTGCAGGTAATTTTGGCATATTCTTCGATGTATGAAGTACAGAATGAAATTGGGGAAAGATACAGGTAAAAGATATCTCGTCATTTCTTCAAATGGCGTTGTCCTTGTTATATTTGTGGGTATTTCCAGTATATTCGAGGATGGAGGGAAGGAGCGATTTGGAGAAGGGAGGTTTTCATGTATATTATAAAAAAGTATAACATTGCGAGCTCATTCATTTTTGATAATATAGTAAAATTAAAATCAGGAATCTGGGGCCCGTCTCCTGCCGAAAGATAGGAATTCGAGCACACTCGTCAATAACCGTAATTTAATAAGCAGTTCGTATCATTGATAGTGATAAAATATAACAATAAAAAGGGTATGGAAACTGGGATTTCAATCTGAAAACGACAGGGTGGTCTTAAGGAAAAAAAACTTTTAACCCCCCTCCACATGGAGGGTGGCTCAAACTCTTTCTGACCACACAGGACAGAGCCGTAAACGTACTTCTCTTAAAAGATGCTATGTCACGCAATCAGGAAATGAGTTTGCAAACAAAAAACTTATTTTGTACCTCGAGTAAAATTGTTTATATCCTTTAGGGGCGTAGTCAGTTAAGGAGAGAGGAAAACGCACGGAATTTTTTCTGCCTGAAAAGGTCATGCTCTGCAGGACTATACCTTCGCATTCAAGTCCATTTCCGCTGAATCCAGGATTACAAGAGCAGATGTAAGATCCCTTAGTATTTGTACAATTGGCATTCTCGCTACACTTGTGGGAATTCAGAGCACACTCATCGATGTCTAAAAGAAAATCATCGAATCGTTCTTATGATCATTATTATCATCACCAAGTTAATGTGCAAAAGAAAATCAACTTAGGTGTTATAATCGGAGCACATTATGATTAGGATTATAAAACGTGTGTTTTTACTAGAGGTTAATCCTATGTATTTATGTATATCCCCGCTGAATCCATGTTTACAAATGCACTCGAATCATCCTATGCTATTTAAGCAAATGACCTTTTCATTGCTGCACTTGTGGGTTTTTGTAGCACACCCATTGATGTCTGAAATATAATCAATAGCCCTCTGGTAAAAATAGTGAAGAACGGAGGTTGCGAGAAGGAGGGGGGGGGGAAGATATGATGTGTTAAGCTGCTGTTTGTCATCAGTGACGATTGAAGAAGCAAGTGAGCAGTAAAATGCGGGGTTACAGAGAAGTAAATTCTTCGCTCCACTTTTCCTTGTACTGAATGCCTATAATATCCTGGGGTGAGACTTCAACTCGAAAGAGGCGGGATGGTGTTTGAAATGAAAAAGGAATTCAACACCTAAGGGAGGTGGTTTGAGTCCTTTGCTGTTCATCCTAAAAAAATGTAATACGGCAGAGCATGAAATTTGAAGTTGCGCCCCCATCCTTGTTTTTCACCATAATGGGCCATATTTAATTTGTGTCATAAGTATAACCGCTTCTGAATCTTGGGCCCTCTAAACAATGGACCACTATGTTAAAATAAAAAAATTAAAAAATTAAAAAAGAATCGATTTCTCTGATTTTAAGTGTTACCTTTTTCACAGTCGTGACCAGTAAATCCAGACGCACATAAACATCGATATCGTTTTCCTGTAAATCCCGACTGGCAGGTGCCGTAGTTCTCACATGGAGATTGAGCGCAAAAATTCTTCAACAAAAACAAACAAACAAAAAACAGAAACGGAAAAGAACTTGTCACGGGCGTTAAAAGAAAATTCTGCTTTAGACATATTGCATAATTTCCAGAGTTAAATATACCACATTTTCAGCATGAGGCGATAAGAAGAATTGTCACTCCCTTGGACGGGATGTCGCAATTAACTGTTTAAAATATTGATAGCCGTTTTCGACACTTCACTCCCATCACTCTGAAAACTCGAGAGGAGGCGTCTAAAGATAGGCTATTACAGAGTAAATTATCTTTCCCAAAAGCAATACTCGTAACCCCGGTCATAGCTCAACTGTACCGTTATAGCCATAGTCGTACGTGCTCTTTAGCCATGAGATGTATCTAATTATTTCGATTATTTAACCTGGTACATTCATGCCTGAAAACCAATTGAATTCAACTACCTTTTGCAAAAATGCATTCGAAAGGCCATTCAATTTATTCTTGGCCACGAAAAATATTTAAGATGAATAAACATGAGTATTTCGTAATTGTGCCTTCTTTGTTGCAAGAAAAATAGCGATCAATTGTTTATTCTAGACCGGTGACCAACGTTCTGAAATAACTAATAAAATTACATGCTTTCGTTAATAAAGTTGGGTGTTCTCAAGGCACTCATAGGACTTTTGCTTTTTGATAGTGCTTTTCTACAAAAGATCTGTAACGACATCAGCATTTGTCTAAAATTTATGTAAAAATAATTAATAATGAATAAGAGGCGTTTCACAGGCATGAATATAAAGGGCACCCCTTTAGCTCTAATGAATTGAAAAAGAGATAGTTGCGCAATTGACATTTAACGACTGGTACCTTAGTTCCGTGGTATACATAGTTCGCTGCTTTCACTAGATTCTTTTCATACTCTTTACGCGTTGAGTTATTCAGTTCACAGTTGTGTGATTTTGCTCCTTTTTCTCCAAAATAAAAGTTAACACTGACGCAGTTGTGGTCCAAGTAGCAACGATATTCACACGTGTCCCTGTCAATCACACTGATGTTTGCTATGGTATGGTTAACAAGACGTTCTCCCACGAAGAACAAAGTGGATGGAAATGCCAGTATACGGCATTGATCTAAAAATTCAAATCATTAAGAGTTAAAAAGCGAAATGAGTCATCAATTCTGAGGGTCTCAGATGTTAATCTCACAGTTCAATGCACGTGGTACGTATATCCATAATTACAACATATTCACTGAGTTATCGGAAATCAAGTTGTATTAACAGTAACATCGGATAAGGTTTTTATCAAGCCATGAATAATGACCTTTTGTACATTATTTCAAGTCATAATTGATTATCAAAGTTATTATAACAAAGCGCGCGTCTGCAAGTCCTACTAAACTCCTAATGAGCCAGCATGGTGTCTCGAAGTAGGCATGGCGGAGCATACATAATACGAGTTTTGCAATTTACTTCAGCAAGTAAGTTCGCGTCTATCTTATTCGAGTGGTTTTAATACTCTAAAGATTCTTTAGAACAGTAAATTTTATTTGAGGTTATAAAAAGTGTTGTTGAATCGAAGGTTATGCTTTTAAAGTCTTACAGTTTTCAGAATCTTCAAATTGTTAACGCAAAGCCACACATTCTGGCCGTGAATTCTAGTAAAAAATTAAGATTCCAGCATGCTGAATCGATTAAGCGAGTCTCGTAAATGCAAGGAGTTCTCCGCTTCTAAGCAGTAAATTTGGCACTTCTTTGAACTAAGCTTTGGTCTCTAAATATTTATTGATCGTGTACACCTTGCCTTTTATCGATAGTTTTTGGGTGGTAAGCGATTACCAGGTAAACACGACTCAACTGTGGTAGAAATTTATCTTTGTGCACAAGTCGTATCCGCCATGTTATAAGAAAATGGTTCGAGCTCTTAGCGAGTGTATATCGTGTCATGGATTCACACAGGAAGTTTAGAGAGCACTCAAGAAGCTAAAACTTCTCTTGGCTTCAGCTCGAGCAACTCACTTCTTTTGTGCTTTGAAAACTGCCCTCGAGCATCAATTTCACAATAAACACACGCTAAGAACAAACTATGCTTAATTTACATTGCGATTTTAATTTTTGCTTTTTGTTCTGTTTTGTTTTTCTATCATTCATACCAATTAGCCACCTGTCGAGTGACAAGTTTTAATGTGCCCGCTTTTCTGCACTCAGTACTCCGTTTGCATTATTGAAAACATAACTGCTTTCCTTGCATTTCAACAATTTTAAAATTTTTATGACACAAGCGAATAATTATGTACCCAAAGAAAGATTCTTATTCCACAAGAGAATCTAAAAATAGGAGAATGGAAAACATTTCATTTCCAACTAGTTAATACATCAATTTGTCTTTCCTTAAGTGCAGGACTCTTCATAACTGTGGGATCTTTCTTGCGAAAATTTTGTCATTGATTTTAGATGGCCTCGATAAAACTTAAGTTTATTTTTATATGAGTGTTTCAAAAGAATTCAAGACTATAACCAGGGCAAAAAATTTGAGCAGTTAAGAAATTCCGAAGATTGTTCGGTCGTAACTAAAGATACTTTGCAAACATACTTTCGCATATAGTGAAAAGGAATCAATGATATTTTCGAATGAATAAAAGATAACAATGCATTCAATTGGATTATGAATTTTGTAGCCATTTTGTTAGTTTATGCCCCTACGTGTATATACGACAATTTAAGTATTTCAGTTCTTGAGAATTCGTGTTTCCATTTTTAACATAGTAAATTGTATAGCTGAAAATTTTAAAGGAGAAAAATAAAAGCTTATTATCAACAAATGCAAGATTTGAAACCTACCATCTGGGCAGGATAGAACTTGTCCGTGGGAGAGCACCACAGAAGTGAAGAACAAATGGAGAAAAACTCCCATATTCTAAAAAACCAGCTGAAAAGAAATCCTTTCGATGTTTTGTGGCTGTTGAGAGAATCGAGAAGCTTAACAACAGTTTGTTGACGGCGATGTATCAGCGATTTAACGCTAAACTTCCTAGACACATGATAGCCAATCACAATTGGACATATGAAAGATGTATAACACTCCGTCACAGAGAGGCTGTTAGATTAAATGATGTGTACTAAAATAGATAATTTTGTTAGTTTTCTCCACAGGCAGTTATTTCCATCTTTCACTCGCTATTCTAAGGGATCCTTTTTGTGTACGTTTCAATAATTATAGGCAGCATCAAAAGAAAAGAAAATAGTAGTTAAACTCAGTAAAAATGCAAGCGCACACAAAAAAAGCCTACAAATCTGTTTTGCTAAAATTTCAAATTGCTAACTCTGTTGTATTCTGACCAAATTTTCTCGGAGATTTTAGAGCATATTTTTAGAAAACATGGCTTCACGGAAGCAAACTCTGTTGTTCAGTGGCGTTCTCGCTAGGAGAGTGCTTCTCGACTTCTCGTCGAAAAAAGTTTCCTTTTTTTTGGACATAAAAAACGGTTTAAGACATATGTCTCAGAGATAGTTTGGTTGTTCTTGAGTTCTCTTTTTTTATGGGTTTTTACAAGCTAAAATTGATATTTTGGCTAGATTACTGCGACTGCAATAATACAGCTCACGGGTTTTCCTCTTTCTTCAAGTTGCGGGATTTATTCAGTCAGAGTGTAAATAAAATATGGAAACTTTACATGAAATCTTATTCATACCAGCGTGATCAGAGCAGACCATCTCTTTGAACATAATTTGCAGATCAAAAATCCAACAATGTGTACAAAAGAATTCTTAAATGTACGCGTAAATCGGGCTAGAAAAGCATATCAGTGGAAAGTTTTTACACCAATTAGGCTACTGATAGCCACTAGCTTTCATCTACCAACGTCTTGAAAACAAGGCAAATCAATGTGTTTCCTCCAATGCGCTAGTGTCAGAGCGCATTTGCAAAATTCTGAAAATCAACCAAGACATCTTTTTGACCGTTTAAACTTATTTCATTTACCTCCTACACGAAGGGCTTTAATTTTTAATGACAATTGGAAAAGATCCTGAGTTGTCCTAAATCGTTGCATAAACTTGATCGTTGTATCAGGTTACCAACCACACACAACGTGGAGAAATTAAAAATTAGCGAATAGAATTTTGCATTCTCGTCGTTATAGAGATAATGCGTAGCTAAAGTGACGCGCAAATATGTTAAAATACGTCACAGTGTGTTTTAGTAAACAACACATATACACTCTGCAATATTACTATTCTGTTTTAGTCGAGTTAAATTTTAACAGGAAATATCCCAGGTTTTATATATAATTAGTATTAGACGTGAAATTCCAACAATTTCAAGTCAAACTATATTTTAGCTCTCAGAAAGGCCCGTAATTCTTGTTTTTCAAAGTAACCTTCAAAACTTACATCGGCCTATATAATATCTTTGAATGTTAGAAATGAAATTTGTGGGACTGTTTTCCCGGGGTTCCATTATTCAATTCACATATGTTCTGAAAAAAATTTTTTTTTATGAGTTTTCCTCCGAAACCAGGAAACCCTAGCCAGGTGACTAGAAATTCTCAGTTTCATTTAGAGCTTGTCCACAACACAACTTCAAACTTGCTTGTGCTTATCGCATCCTTAAAACCTTCCAGACCTCTTCAAAATTGTTGAAAATCCTATTGAGGCTAATAATAATCTTTGAGTTAACTATGACCAATTCACGCCGCGAGCGCAAGGAAAAGAGAACCACTCCGCAGGGCTGAATACGCGATGTGGAGCGCTATAAAATTCCACATTCTCGCGTGTAACGCTTTCTCTAGAGACCTCTAGAAGTGTTTAGCGACGATAAACAAAGCTATTTTTGGTTAACTCAGAGAACTTGCAGAAATACCTCCTAACAGCCGCGTTTTTGCGCGAAGCGCGAGAAGCGACGAGGGGAGTAGAAAAATAAAGCTTTATTTTTCTCCATCCCTCTTCTCGCGCTTCGCACTCGTTTCGTGCTTCTAGCAAAGGCCGCGTTCGCCGCGCTTGGCTCATGAAGCGGCTGTTATGCAGGCTAAAATACCTCTTCACATTTATAAGATAAGGTGTCATTGATTTGTTAGAGCGGGTAGAGACATTTATAACGTGCAAATAGTCGCGAGTTGAAAGGTAACTGACTGATTTGTAACAAGGACTCACCCTGACAAACAAGAAATGATCTCACTTTCCGAAAAGGAACGCTCTTTTAAACATAAACAAACTTCAAAAATAAGTAAAGGAAGCAAAACAATGAACAAAATAGATTTTTTCTTGACTTAGTTATTCCGGCGAGAACAAATGGTGAATGATTCATTCCTGGAAGCAAGCCTCTAAGGAGAAGTGAGAACACCGTTTGGGCAAAACTCTACAATTTGTGTACTTTACTAGCCTGTTCACAGTCTCTCTTCATTTTTAGATATCTTCGAGTGCACTTATAAAAAAAAAGCGCGTTCCGCCCTCTCTCACGAGCAATCGCTTATCTTGTGCGCGCACCAAATTCCCAAAACAGAAAAACGTCTGTGAGCAGGGTAGTACTTTCTGTTTCTACATATCTTGCCCACAGAGCTGGCAAGTAAAATTAATGACGGTTTTTTTCAGCAGGTCAACGTAGAGCGCTTTGCGGCGAACAGGCTTGGGAGGTACTTCTAGTTCTAGTTGCTGACAAATGTTTGGAAACATTCCAAGTTTAAGTCGCTCCAGAGATCCTCCCTTGGCCATGGCACAGATATCGTGCTGATCGTAAGTGATGGGGTGCTGTAGCGTGATGGATAGGATTTTTTTCTCTTGCCATGGTAAAGTTTTCCTCTTCTACTACAGCTTGGATTTCAGCATCGTCGGATGTTTGCCGTCGGACCTTCGCTGCAAGACGTGAGAGATCTGAAGTGCACTTCTGCGGGGTAAGAAACTCGGATACTTTGAACAAACGAACACCATCAGGTCCTTTTGCACGTCTGATTTCACTTGATACGATATCACCGTCTAGTTTTCTGCCGCTGGTTTGACCAATTGTAAACTTCGCATTTAGATAATCCCTCTGGTTTTGGTTAAAGCGACATGCTTTTTTGCTCGGCTTTAGCGCCCATCCTTCTTTTACCTCTACTTCGCCGGATGTAGCCTCTCTTGTATCCCTAAAAGACGCAAACGAAATGACTTGACTGGTCGTGCCCTCCTCCGACCTGGACTTGTAGCCTAGTTTGGCAAGGTCTAACAAAGACCGTTTCTCTAAAGACTTGGGGCATTTCTCTAAAGATAGGTGTTTTTCGAGAGAAGACAGCCTTTGAAAGACCCTAACATACCCATCCTGAGGGCAGGTAAACACGGATGACGATTCATTTGCATTGTCAGTGGGATCATGAACCTGCTCCACTTCCGTCTCTTGCTTCATCCTTGACTGAGTCGGTTTTGGGCTAAGGGGTTTAAAGTCTCCAGAAGAAAACTCAGATGAAAGCCAACTAATGCCATGTTCTGAAGTAGATAACACATAAAGAAACAAGATTTACATAAACAGCACTGTTAACCTACTTCAATAATTTACTCTGCACAGCCTGTGAAGAGTGCCCCTTTGGTCCACTTTACTGCGCGAACAGATGAAACGTTTGCTTTTTACATCTTACGTCGACATTTTCTTCAGAACCGCTATATTTTGCGATGTTCGTTTTAAAAATTTTGTAGAACAAATCAAGGGCTATAAATTTATAAAGGGAATAAGGGGCTTAAGTCTTTTACAAAGCAAAACCCCACGGGGTGGCAGACACTCGCTCCTCCTGCGCACCAGGGTGGGAAATGGATGCCTTCCATGCGTCTGAAGGCTATAACAAACGATGAACGTACACCTTTTTACTCAAACTGAAAAAAAAAAGTTTGCGCGACGACATAATTCTAAAGAAGGATAAAATTGTGAATTTTCATTAGACTAACCTTCTGATGTTGTTTCCAATGGGATCTCTTTTCCCTTTCCCATACCATAAGCGCGCCAAGCTACGAGAATTTCGTCTTTAAACTCGAAATTGTTTCATTTGTTGATACCAATAATCTTTCTGTTGTCATCTACTATTGCTTCTTCTTCAACACTTTTCATGACAGCAACTCGAACTCCTTCTACCCCCCTATGCGAAAGAAAAGCACTCTTCAGTTGTTCGGCATTGGTCACGTCATTTCCTTCGTTTATGAAAGTTCTGACGTGATTCTTGCAGGTTGCAGCGAGCCTGTAAGCGGCACCTTTTCCACCCTGTGGTCAGAAAAGTCAATGCGCTTGATTTCGATGCCGGTGCAGGAGGATATCACTTGGCATGAGAGTACGGTGGACGACGAATGATAACATCCTGCGTTATCTTGGCGAAAGAACTTCTTGTTAATCTCATTGTGCTCCAGCTTGATGGTATTCAGGACATCCTGCATGATTTTGACCAGTGCAGCACTGCCTTGATTGCACGACTGGATTATGTGCAGAAAGCCCTGTCACTGGACTACCCCGTTCACACGACGGTAGACGACAGAAACGTGCCAGGAGATGCCTCGCTTACCAAACCAGTCGGTTTGGGACTCTCTGTATTTTTGTGGCAGGAACTTCATGGCCCAGTCGTTAATTATCAAGACAGTGTTGTCGTCAAGTTTCTCCAGTGCATCTATTCTCGCTTGGTCTTGGTTAGCTGATCTAAGGATGTGGCATTTCCAGGACATTATGGCCAGCTGGGCTGTCTGGAATATAAATAGCGCTTCGTCTTTCGCGTTCTGAGTCGGAAAGGTCGTCTCGCCAAACACCCGTTCAATCTTTGCCAGAGTTTCCTGAAGACTTTGACAACGGCCACAAAGATGAGTGTGTTGGTGACTGCATTATTGCTGGTAATCTGCATCACTACTGTCGCTAAGAGCAAACAACACACAGTGGTCTGCTACGTTAGAGGGGCAAGTGACATGAACCTA